ATAAACAGCACGAGATTTAAAATTGCTTTATTAAAAAAGACACATTGACAATTTGAAATAGTTATACAAGTATCTATATGAAAAAGAATAATAATAAATTTATTTCTCTTCGCTTCGCTCAACCTACACGTATCAATATGAGCCGCTGCAGTTTTGTTCTTATCGTACACGACATAATATTTGTTTTTGTACGGCAGCGAATGAGTTTTAATATCACGAATCACAATTCCAAGCCAACGCAACGCAACGTTGCAGCGTTGCGGTTCAAAGGTACTCCGTGCGTTGCGGATCGTTATAAGAAATAGACAGTTATGAGCGTTATGTATAACTATCACGTTGCAGCGTTGCGGTTCAAAGGTACTCTATGCGTTGCGGATCGTTATAAGAAATAGACAGTTATGAGCGTTATGTATAACTATCTATACGTTATAAAGAAATTGACGTTTTCATAACTGTCTATACGTTATAATGCTCATAGCTAATTTGTGGTAGTTCGTCTGTCATCTAAGCCTTGTTCGGAGTTATTTTTCAGTATTACAGTGAATTTTGCCTATTTTGGTACTTTTTCGTTGATTAGTAAAGGGTAATTGAGCTAAAACAACATGTCAGTGTTGCATCAAAGAATGTAATTCAAATTCTCGTAAAAATTACGAAGGATTGTAATTTTTCAGGTTAGTTGTGATTTTTTTTTATAATCATGTATATTTTTCGAGTGAATTGCGTTTTGTGTTCATATTATGTGTTCAAAGTCGGGTTTTCCGCTTTTATCTAGAATTTACAATGAGAATTATAATGTAAAATTAAACAATTATCGATATAAAGTTTAACAACAATGTTAATATAGTCCTATGATCAAATAACGTTTTAAACACGAAAACTGTATATTTAATCAAACGAACCTTACATTTCAGGAAAGAACTTGAAAATCGTGTAAATCGTAAATTTTCTATAATAGTTTTTTTTCATCAAAAGATTTGATGAGGTTAAGATTATTTCATTGGTACTTAAGAAAGCATAATATTTTTTTAGGTTGCCAAAGCATGAAGGCCTTCAAAAATTGTGGATTGATAATATAGGCCAGGAAAACATGCAGCAGTAAGAAGAATATGCTCCTTGCATTTTGAAAAATAATTTATAAACAGAACGCTGGATGTAGTTTAGCTTAAGGATGATGTGGTTCATGTGTCTAAAAGAAATTTTCTGGCTATGAAGTATGAAAATGGCGCAGCCACCGCTATGGACCGAGAAGTGGAAAATGGGTATCATATGGTATGAACATGTGATGCTGAAGATTGAGGAATACGTTAGGATAGTTAAAAGGGAAGACGATAGCCAATGAAATGATTCATGGATTGTGTGAAAGATGATATGGTTAGAAAGGGGCTGCTCAAGTCGATTAGAGTGGCGCAGGCAAAACCACCTGGGAAAACTTGGGGTAGACCTCTGCTCAGTAGTGGGACAGCATGGGCTAGACAAAAAAAAATCATACGAAGCCAAGTACATTGGCTATAGTGGTGGTTTCGTTAATCTCTGCAGAGGAGGGGGAAAAATGCGTGCATCGACCCATGGACGTACGGATGGAGTTTTAACTTTGCGTTATCAATCTGTTTTTTATCCCTATAGCGCAGCGTTGCATGCCTGTGTTCAGACTGGTGTCGGTACGGAAAAAAAATTAGCTCGTAGCTCTAACTCAGTATCCTATTCCGGAGGAGTCGTAAACGTGTTCTAAAAAGAAAGGAATTAAAGCTCCAATACATGGTGCTCCTTCCTTGATCTCTTTAATCACTTTTAAATATTGCTTCACCATATCATATTCAGCAGAGTGAGAAAGTTTTTCATGCCGCTTGCAACTTTACAAGGGGCAGGTTCAGCCACACATGGAATACAGTTCTTATTTCTGAGCCGGGGCTTCCAATGCCAGCTCCTTTCACTTGACCACATCCAGCTCACGGTGGCTCAAGTCGTTGACGGAGTTTTCTCTCATCGATTCGATTCACTGGCGCTGCGAAGAGATATTGCATTCTTTTGCATTTTCTATAGCATTTACCACGGGGAGTGAGTGCTCTGAGAATTTTTTTGGATTAATTGCAGTCGCCATAATCCTCTAACGTACATCGCGACAAAACTCACATCACCATCCACATCATCTGCATACTTGACGGTCAACAACTGTGTCGTTTACTTGAAGTTCCGTACACGACTTCTTTGCGAAATCGTCTACTACCGTTGATATTTTCGGACCGATACGAATACGGCACCTTCAAGAAACGAGCTTACTCTGGAAAATCAATGTGTGGGCGGGAATTATAGATGACAAAATTATTGCTCCGTATTTTTTGGCCACACAATGAGCGGTGAAAACTACGGACAATTTTTGCTAGAAGAACTAAGCGAACTTGATGAAATAAATCTAGACCTCGTTCGCACATGTTTGAACACGATGGCGCACTACCGCATTTCTCTCGTTGTGTGAGAAATTTTTTGGATACTGAATTCGGTGAAAGATGGATTGGCCGTGGTGGACGGGTCAACTGGCCGGCGCAATCACCTGTCTCATACCTTTAGATTTTTATCTCTGGGGTACGATTAAGCAGTCTGTATTCCAAAAAACATGTGACACCGAGGCGGAAATGCGTATGCGAATAGTCACATCTTTCGTAAAAATAAGATTCGAAATATCTGTTATGCAACGCGTTCGTTCAGACATTAAAAGCCAGTGTCGCAAATGTATAGTGGTACAAGGCGGACAAGTGGTACAAGTGATGCATTTGTGTTTTGCCTCGGCCACACACATCGCGATAGAATTATCGCGATAAAACTTTGCTTTCATCCTACCGCGAAGGTGCTTGTCCACACTGCGCGTTGTAAAGTTTATCGCGCTAAACACACGCTAAATACAAATTGGGTCGCTCTGCATTATATGGCTGCGAATATAGTACGTGAGTGTAATATGGTCATCCGGTTAATATTGTAACTCAAAAACTATAGCCTTCTTTGCAAAGATGGCTCTGTGATACGATAGCTCTTTATCAGTCAATCAAATAATAAAGGGTCAAAAGGGCGCTGCATTTTCGACGCCATTTTGACAGATGACGTAAAGTAAATATTTTAGTCAATTTTATTATTGTGTAGTGTAGTTAGTTTTCTTTAAGTTGATTTCGATGCGTTCCTAATTGTTGCCAAAGCTTATTTGCTTTTTTTCCTAATAAATTAGTTACAGTATACGACTTTGTGTTTTGCCTCTGTCCTCCTACTAGTTTTGGTTTTACAGGGCGATAAAGCCGAAATTACTGATGAATTCTAAATTTTTTTAAACTAATATATGTCGGGAATACGTCGCAAACCCCAATTTATTTAACATATCCGCTACGCACGATGTCTGTGGGCAGGCTGAAGTGTGGCTGCATACGCTAATGACCCCTCTACACTACTCGCAAAGTAGATCGAAGTTGGGCGAGTAGAATAGTGTATCGAATCGAAGTACCTCTTGTACTTCGATTCGCTTTGTGCAACCTCGCTTCGCCTCGGGCGACTTCCAATCGCTGTCGGTTTTTTGCGCTCCAGTCAAAGGACTTCGCGAAGTGGCCGAAGTCACACGAAGAGTCTCACTACACTACTCGGCGTACGCCAGTTATATACTATTTTTTTATATATAAATATTAAATATGTAGCTTTCTACATAATTACTTATCTATGATTAACGCAATGACGTCGTCCTGTTCACACAATTAGGTACCTATAGGAGCTGCCTGTTGAACGTTATTCATGTTAAGGGTGCGGGAGGAATCGAGACGTCTTAGCTCTTCGCGAAGTAGCACGAATGTGTAGTTACGTTCTTCGGACTTCGATCGACTTCGACGAGCACTTCGTCAAAATTACTTCGCGAGTAGTGTAAAGGGGGCCTAAGTCCATCGCGATAAAACCCTTTCAATCGCGAGAATTTACCGACAGCGAAGCGATGTGCTTGAAACTTTTCTTCTTGAAAGGACGGCTACATACATTGCAATAACGTGACTTCTCGCGCTAGCACGATATGTGTAGCCGCGGCGTTTGTGGATAATTATCACAATCGGTCGAAATAAAATTTTATAAGTTGTGATAATGGACTATTAAAGTGATGATGAACAGCTGAGTGATGTGACGAGGTCACGACGTTAGTGCAATTAGTGTAGGTATAGCGCCCCGTCTTTGATGTACGGTTCCGCCGGCTGCCGCTGCTTCGCTTTAGTTACTTGATAATTCCAGATAGAGGTAATCAATCCACATTAAAATAACACATATTATTTAATTAAAATTTAATTTGATTATTTTTATGGCGAGTTTTCTAAAGTAAAGTTATTTCTAAACGTTAGAATACTGATTCTGACAACGCACTTAACGGGAACCACAAGGTTTTTGTTACATATTGTAAAGGTATTTTTACACTAAAATTAGAACGAAATAAAACGGTACAAAAAATATACTAATATTCCAACTACAATTTCTTTCTTTTGTTCTGATTGCTGCGTTGGCTTGTTGGCTTATTTATTAAATACAAAAATATACATAAGTACATATATCATAGTGTTGCCAGATTGTGTTTCTGGTACAGTAACAATATCTTTAAAAATTGTTTATTTTAAGTTTCTTAGTTTCATGTTTAACATTGTTGCTATTATATAAAACAACCTTTTCTAATGAATAATTATTATAAAGATACCAGCTTGAAACAAATCTATGAAACAAAACAAAATATAAATTATACAACCTATTTACTAATTTGCGTAATATGTAACGTAATGTGGAAATTGTCAAATATCGACAGTTTCTTTTTCATTTTTGTGTAAACATATCAAAATCATAGTTCTAAATGGCGTAAAAGTGCACTTTATAAAATGTAGGCAAATTCTGTTTTATAATGAAATGTTACTTTTCTGGATATCCTACTGTAACTTTTGACTAAAGTGAACTGGTAACACTGGTCAGTCTGCCGTAACGTGGCGGCGCTGCGCTCGTGTGCCACAGGAGTGGCCCCGAATTGAACTGTCATTGTTCATGTAGTTTTCTGTGATAAGAAATACTGTGAAATTATAGTTTAGCGTAATATAATTATTATAATCATTCGCGATGTCTGCATCGGGTGAATTTGGAAACCCTTTACGCAAATTTAAGCTTGTTTTCCTTGGAGAGCAGAGCGGTAAGTACCCAGTCGACGAAAAATTGTTCTGTCGTACATTTTTAATATGTAGATTTTAAATTTACGACACGTATTAATATTTCTATAAAATTTATGAAGTTACTTATCAATATTTTTCATTTATCTACAAATCATCTTGCAATTTAAACTCTGTTACCACAGAAATTCGTTCCGAGTCTGACGTTCTAAGCAATAAGTGAGATGTAGGTTACAGAATGCCATTATAAGAGCTACATCGAATTCTCACGTAATTTATTGCCTCCCGTTATCAATTAGCTTTTGAATAGTGCAAGTACATGTATGCCGTTAGAAGGGTATTGACAACACAAATGTGCTTTCAGTTGGGAAGACTTCGCTCATCACTAGGTTCATGTACGATAGTTTCGACAACACTTACCAGGTGAGTCACTTAGTAATTTTTATTGTTGATTTTACAGTCATATTTTAAGATTTGTGTTGATTTAACACTGAAAATATTAGAATACTATTAGTTCAGGTTCAGGATTGGATTTACTATGGTTTGGTTTAATTGTAGACATTATTGAGTCGGTATTCTTGACTTTGCTTTTATATATCTCTTTGCTATTGGAATATATTTTCATCATAAACTATACATATGAATATGTATTATATATACCTAATTACACTTTGGCTATTGTCTTCTTCTTTGACAAATGAATTAAGGAATACATTCATCATGATGACGATGACCTGAAATATTGACCTGATAACTTAAAATATTTTCATTAAACATAATGAAACATTTAAATAATTATCATTGAATATGTATTATATATACCTAATTACACTTTGGCTATTGTCTTCTTCTTTGACAAATGAATTAAGGAATACATTCATCATGATGACGATGACCTGAAATATAGACCTGATAACTTAAAATATTTTCATTAAACATAATGAAACATTATGGTTTTATTTAATTAAAAGAAGCAGTTATGTAGAGTAGTCATAGGTGTGACATAATGTTTATGAACATACTACTTGATTTTTTGAAGCCTTTCTATAACTTATAAATGTAACATTATGTTTGTGTATAATAATAAAAAAGTTGTGAAATAGAAATAGTAAGTAGGGCTTTCTAACATTTTCAATTCTTATAAAAACAATATTTCAGGATTAGTTAATAGATTTTGCTAAAATTTTGTGTTTTAGAAAAGAATACCTACTTCAAGAGTGATTCCATATAAATTTCAATAAGATCTGATAGTAATTAAAATGGCTCATAATTTTTTAAAGAAGTATGAATTATTTCTGCATACATTGTACCTAAATCTTAAGCAAGCATTTCTTGTATAAATACAATATAATATTATATAATATGTAATTGGTTTTTTATGTAGTTTCATTATATAAAAAATTTGGATTTTATTTTTAAATAATGTTTTACTTTCCAAGTTTATTTAGTTAAGTGTTGTGTCATCCCTGAGATTTTTTTCTTTTTGACTGAAACTCGGTTGACCAAGCACTTTTTATTTAAATAATTATCATTGTCAAATGTGTTATCTGATAATGATATTTTCCTTTTATAGTGAAGCTGTTATGCTTTTAAAATTACATTGTTATCAAAGTGTATTGGAATGTCTATTTTATTGTACTTGTATGTGCTGCAATATTGTAATTTAATATTACAATGTTAAATTACAATATCATAATTAGTTAATTATTATACAAAAATATTGATTGTGGAATGTCCAGTAACATGATCATGAATTTTCCTGTGAAGCTTGACAATGAGGGCTAATATCTTTTGCTCACCAGAAGTCACAACTAACTAAGGTGAAGTTTTTTGTTACACAATGTCATTTGATTAGAAGTTAGTTTAAAAAAAAATGTTTATGAGTTTCTACAGTATTATAGTAAACACAAGACAAAGCCTCAGTGGTTTGCTCATTATGTTTTTGCACATTTTTAACTCATTTTTAATTTTTTTTAAATATATTTTAGTAATGATAAAGTAATATGAATATATTTTTATAATTTATTTATATAAGTTCTACTACTGAAAATTTCTCTATTCATGAACAATCCTATTGTAATTTATTCATATAAGTTCTACCAATTTGAAAACTTCTTAATTCATGAACAACCTTCCTATTTTTGTTTATCTGTTCTTTGAAATTGTTCCCTTTAGTTTGAACCTTGATTTGTCATAATTCTAATTTTATCATTTTTTCTTTTTCAATTTCATAATAAACATATTAATGATTATCTGACTTTGGTCTGGTCTGTGGTTCAATAGTTCTGGTTTAATATAAACAGAAACTTTTTTTTATTCAATATAGATTATAAATAATACTTATTGAAAGTCACTCTTTTGTTTAATTACCACTAGTTAAAAAAAAAACTTCTGTCCTGGGAAGAACCAGGAAGAAACCTAGCGGTACTTTTTTTAGAATAACAGCTTACAATCATGTATGTTACACAATTAACCACACAAAACAAATTAGAAATAGCTTGATAGCGATCACCTCATTCCCAGGGGTTATTATCATCCATAAATTCCTTAATAATATAATAACCCTTTTTATAGAAACTTGTTTTATGAAGTTTTTGAACTTTGAGCAGGTCAAATTTTGTTTTGTTTTTGTTGTCAAAATTTAACAAAAATTCAGTGTTAGTTTTTGGATCTCATTTTGTTTAGATTGTCCCTCTTTTCCATCAGTTTCATTATCAGGTGCAGTAGGTTAAAGCAAGTGTCTGTTGTAGAACTTGCACTTGCGGTATTATTATAATATGTCATTCTATCATTAATATATTTAAGCCTATCAAAAGCCCACTGCTGAACATAAGCCTCCCCATAGTTTGTTTCATAGGGGAGATATTTGCCATAGTCGCCACGCTTGGCAGGCATTTGGTAACAGCAGTATTTTTATTATTACAGAAGATCTCCTCAGAAAGATGCTGGTCCATCTCCTTGTTTCAGTTTTTAGCTGTCGATTCTTATGACATCTATGGGATGATAGTGGGTACTGGAGTCTGTTGCACAGCCCCTATACGGCTATTAATAGCTTTACAGTATATGTCATTGTGTGTTATCGCCTTGGACAAAACTGACCAGAGGAATTAGAATATTCCAGATCTTCATTTTCACAAGCTTTTAGGTTTTTTTAGTTACCTGTACCAGATACCTTATTGCCAGTTTCCACTTGTTGCATGTCCGACAAGTTTTATCAGATGTTTTGCTAGCACTGCATTCCTTACTAAAAATTGTGCCAAATAAAATCATATTTTTTTTAGAATAAGGGTCACATACAAGCTCACATTTCACCTGATGGTAAGTGGATGACATAGATACCATAGACTATGGCATATATCCCCCCCCCCCTATCAGACAATCTATGGACGAGGCCTATATTCAGAGAGGCATTGGACTCTAATAGTCTGTTATAGGTTGCAAAGACTGTTTTATTATACATATAATAACATTATGTCCTGTACATATTAAATGTGCAATAATATAAAAAAATCAATTTAATATAATTCTAGTCAAGTAAATTGCCATTTCTTTGCATGGCCCTATTGATAGTTGACCTTGTCAGTCAGACATGCATTTCTGGCTACATATGTGCTCTATATCATTATGCCGCCGACACTTGCCATAATTGCAGAGTACTTTTATTTGTTACTCCATAACTTGTTGATAACTTGAATTATGTATAAGGTTATATTTAATGTCTTATATTGTACTTCTTTTTTTTTTTGCTGCTTTTTGCTTTATTTTAAATTTTGTGTTATAATTATATAGAAGGTTTAGGCTTTTTTCGTTTTATCGAAGGACTAAACTACACGTAACAGCTGTGCTACGTTCGTGACGCCAATGAATAGGTTTCTTGGCTGAAAATCAGCGCTGTGTGAGGCCATACTCACACAACACATGCTGAGCCAACCCCTTTTCGGCACAATGCGACCTTTTTTATATATATCAATATGTGCTTTTACTTTCATGTGTATGAACTGCCTGTGCTGAATAAATGTTTTTTCTATTCTATTCTATTCTATTCTATTAAGGTCTAAAATGTTACAGCTACACTACAAAGTAAACCTTTCCTTCAGAATTGGATCTACCAAAACTTTTGTTTGATCTCCCTTCTGGGGAAGGTGTCAGCATTGATCCAAACAAGTCAGATGCGACAAACGGGAATGCGCCATTAGCGGACTCTAAGCACTTTTACCACCCAACAATAGATTGTATTGTGACTGTCACTATAGCCTTTGACAGTCTATAGATGTGTTATTTTGAAAACCACAGTAGCGGGACTCGAAAATCCCTGTCTTTTTTATAGAAGAGGGGGCAAACGAGCATAGGGCTCGCCTGATGGTAAGTGACTATCGCCGCCTATGAACAACTGCAATACCAAGGGAATTGCAGATGCGTTGCGGGACTTTTACAAAGGATTGAGCTCTTATCTTGAAGGTCCCTAAGTCGTATCGGTCCGGAAAAATCGCTGGTGGTAATCGATTCCACATGGAAGTTGTGCGAGGGAGAAAACTTCTTCTAAATCGCACAGTGGTGGACCTCCAATCATCCAGATGGTATGGATGGTAACGCGAGTTTTGTCGCAATGTGCGATGGTGAAATTGAGCAGCTGGAATTAGTCCGAACAATTCCTCAGAGCACTCCCCGTGATAAATGCGATAAAATACGCAAAGAGATGCAACATCTCTACGCAGTGCCAGTGTATCGAGCCGATCAGAAAGAACTCGGTCGTCGACGATTCGAACCGCTCTGCGCTGGATGCGGTCAAGTGGAAGGAGCTGGCACTGGTGCCGCGGCCCAGAGATGAGAACAGTATTCCATGTGGGGTCGAACTTGCGGAGCACGCCAAGCTTTTTAGAGGCCAATTTGGCCTTCCCTTCCAAGTGACCTCGAAACTGCACACTATTCGATATGTCCATGCCGAGGTTTGCGATACTGCCTGAGGCAACAAGGGGAGTACCTTGCAACTGAGGAGATACGACAAAGGGGTTCTTTTTAGCGGTAAACGCGCAAACTTATGTCTTTTGAGGATTAAATTGGACCAGATTTAGTCGCCCCCAATCCGAGACTGTTCAGCAAAGAATCGACTTCAGACACAAGTTTGTTCCGGTACTCAGCGACGTTTTCCCGCGAAATATTGGCACGGCCGGTGTATAGAGCATCACCAGTGCTGTCATCCGCATAGCAATGAATGTTACCGCTTCGCAACATATCATTCATATGCAGAAGAAACAGCGTCGGTGATAGCACGCAGCCTTGTGGAACACCAGCATTAATGCTGGTGTTCCATAAGGCTGCGTAATTAATGGGCTTGTAGTCGGAGCATGCACCGTCTACAACGAGCTTGATGCTCCGATCTGCAAGAAAGCTGGTGATCCAATTGCACAATTTCATATATCACATCACATAAGAAGGGAGCTTTGATAGAAGCGCTTTGTACCAAACCCGATCGAAGGCCTTCGCAATGTCCAAACTAACGGCCAATGCCTCTTCCTTGAACTCTACTGCCTCCGCCCATCTTTGACTCAGGTAGACTAGAAGATCACCAGCTGATCGATCCCGTCGAAAACAGTATTAGCGGTCACTAATCAGCTGGTGCTCCTCAAGGTACAGCATGAGCTGGCAGTTTATAACGGATTCCATTATTTTTGGATAACAAGGAGGTGATTGCGATAGGCCTGTAGTTAGACCGGTCTGAGTGGTCGCCTTTTTTTCGGGATTGGATGAACAAAAGCCGTCTTCCATGTTTTGGGGACAACGCCTTGGGAGTATGAGTACCGGAAAAGACGCGTTAGAACCGGTGCCAACTCCGGAGCACACGTCCTCAGCACAATGGGTGATTCCATCAGGCCCGCTCGACTTGTGGATGTCCAGGGAGAGGAGTGTTTTGCGAACCGAGCGCTGTGTGATCCCCACATCCCGCATGGATTACTCACACCGCGGGATAGTCGGCGGTGTGTTCCCCCGTCATCGAGAGTCGAGTTGGACGCAAAGAAAGAGCCTAGCAGATCGGCTTTCTCCTTTGCGGCATGGGCCAGTGAGTTGTCCTCCCTGTGCAGAGATGGAAGAGATGGCTGACAGAAGTTCCCTTGGACAGCCTTGGTTAGAGACCAGAATGCACGGGTTCCCGAAGGAAGGCGAACTAGTTTTTTATTTGTTGACATAATCTATAATATCTGCTAAACTCGTTGAGTTATTGAAGCGTGATTAAGCGACAAACATACAAACTCACAGTTAAAATATTATAGTAAGAGGCAATTTTAGAAGTTACATGAACTTTTGAGTCAATTAGTTTCGCGCGTTATTCGATATGGATTTTAATTGCTATTGCTGGATACAGATCTCTCCCAAAGGACGTCACATTTAGTCGTTGCCTGATGCCTTGGAAAGATCATTGAACTAGATTTATGTGCGTTAAATACTGAACTTGCTTCGCAATCTGCTTACTTCGCTCCTTGTATTAAGGGTGGTAATTTCAGTGGCAGATATTGATCAATTTTAGTTCAGTTCGTAATGTCGATAAACAGCTCTGTGGATTTCCGTCAGGGAAAAAAAATTATTACTTGGCAACTCAACCAAACTCAACTCTTATTTTTTTTTCATTAGTTAATTCATTTTATTTTAAGTAACTATATTGTTCCGCATAGACATGCCTGTTTTCATATTTTATATTGTTATCAAAATACATTAAATGACTTAAAACATCGGTCTACTCACACCTTATATATTATTTGGATATCGGATGGTATGTGTTGTTAATTTGTATATGTCATATATAGGCGACAATCGGCATCGACTTCCTGTCTAAGACCATGTACCTAGAAGACCGCACGGTACGGCTACAACTGTGGGACACTGCAGGCCAGGAGCGCTTCCGCTCTCTCATTCCTTCATACATTCGGGATTCAACTGTTGCGGTCGTCGTGTATGATATTACCAGTAAGTACCTATTCTTGTTAACTTATTGTCCTTTGTATTTTAGTGGGTTTGAATGCAATCGTGATATAAGAGAATTTACAGTTACAATAAACGTTTTTTTATAAGAGAGGGGGCAAACAACCATACGGCTCACCTGATGGTAACTGACTACCGCCGCCCATTAACAACTGCAACACCAGGGGAATTGCAGATGCGTTGCCGACCTTTTCAAAAAGAGTAGGCTCTTTTCTTGAAGGGCCCTAAGTCGTATCGGTTCGGAAAAATTGCTAGTGGTATTCGATTCCACAAGGAAGTTGTGCGAGAAAAAAACCTGTTGTAAATCGCATAGCAGTGGACCGCCAATCATCCTGTTGGTATGGATGATATCGCGAGTTCTGTCGCGATGTGCGATGGTGAAATTCAGCGACTGGAATTAATTCGAACAATTCCTCTGACCATTCCCCGTGGTAGATACGATAGAATACGGAAAGAGATGCAACATTTCATCGCAGCGCCAGTGAGCCAAGCCGATTGGAAGGAGCTTGGTCGCCGACGATTCGAACTGCTCTGCGCTGGATGCGATCAAATGGAAGGAGCTGGCACTGGGGAGCCCCGGCCCAGAGATGGGAACAGTATTCCATGTGCGGGCGAACCTGCGCCTTGTAAAGTTGCAGGCGGTGTGCCAGCACGAAATACTGTCCCGCTCAAGCACGCCAAGCTTTTTAGAGGCCAATTTAGCCTTCTCTTCCAAGTGACCACGAAACATCACGTCATTTGATATGTCGACGCCAAGGATTCTGATACTGATAGCGTCCTGAAACTGAGGAGATATGACAAAGAGGTTCTTTTTAGCGGTAAGCGCGCAAACTTGTGTTGGCTTGGAATTGAACTGGACTAGATTTAGTCGCCCCCAAATAAAAATATTATAAATATATGATGAATTGAGCAACTTACCTGCATGTAATGCACCCTGTTCGACAAACGAAAAGTTTCTGTTGACCTACTGATAGAGGAAAATACATCTTCATGTTCTGAACTCTCCCACAGACTGGTAATGGGAAAACCTCTTCCTCCTCACTTTCCCTGCGCAATATTAGACTAATATTATTAGTTTTACATCGTTCAAGGAATGCGTAATTTTCATTTGGCATACGCCTATAAAGGATAATAGAAAATGTATTGAATAGTTAGAGTCGTGGCAGAGCTCATGTGGATCGTCTTAAATTTCGAATGTTGCCAGCAGCCGAATTTCGATTGACTTACAGTGTATTTTTACCTATTGTAAGACATTACATCACTACAATCCTACTTGATTACGGTACCGGTACGGAACTGGTACGGCTTAGAATACTAAGTGGTACGGATACCGGTAACGGTAACCTTACTTGAATCCCACTTGATTATAAGCGGTGATTTAGTTGAAAATGGTAAACTGGCTGGATGCTTTAGGTTAGCTTATAAAACATTGTAATAGGATGGAATGACAGATGCTATTTTGCTTACGCATTACGAATGACGTACTAAACAAACATCTTTGATTCGAATGCGCGGTCTTGTCTACAAGATGAGTGTCGCCGGGCGTCTGGTTGTTGATTTATTCACTATAGATTAAGTATAAATAATACTTATAGAAAGTTATTTTTTAATATATCACACACACAGTTTTGGAAATTCCACTGTCGTGGGAAAAACAACTTCTTATTGTAACAATGAATTATTAAAATGATAATTATTTTACTTAAGTTATATCTTTATATTAATCTCGTATACGTACGTCTTCTATTGCTTAACTAGGCCTTTTGATAAAGAAATTGGTTTTTTATGTTGTTACGGTACCTATCATGGTTATAATACAATTTTTATCTGTGGTGTTGTGAAACATTTTATATCTGTATAGGGATAAATTAATTATGTATGTATCGTGCAATTCAATTCCTGCGCGACAGTACTCATGCGTAGCTATCCCCTCCACGTTTCGTTCAGCGCTAGACTTACGTGCCGCGATTTTTACTGTTATAAAAGAAAACAACGCCAATATTAGCCAACCAAGTTTTAAACACTGGGGTCGCTACTCCCTTTATCATTTTTAATTAGATTTATACGTTTGTTACTCAAAATATTATTATAAGTTTTTTTTTGCTAGAATTAATGAAATAATGAATCTCAGAATACCGAAACTTACACGACAAAAATGGTATATCTTCTATTTATAGTAGGAAATTTATCTAAATATTCTATTTGGTGTCTGTAATTTGAGTATTTGTGACGTATAATGGCGACCCGACGTGAGAGAATCCACGGCCTCATTTTGTCTCGTGGGTCCCGTAAGAGGTGATTATGTGAAATACCTAAAACGGGAGGTCATGTTCCGGCGTGGGCTTGTGTGAACTTTTGCTGATGCAGAAGTTTGAGTGTTAGTTGTCCACCAATTTAATAAAATGTCTTGGTCATTATTTCATAGCATTATTTAAAAATTATCTATTTAGGAACACATTGCTTGTTATTATTTTACTAAACAAATATAAAATAATTTAGTTCATATGTTTCATGCGACATTTGTTACGTCGTTGGCAAAGTAAGCTAAGCTAATATCGTAGGGTTAACACATGTTTGCTTACTGGTGCGACTAAATGTTAGTGCGGCATTACCGCATTACGCCTCTCAAATACATTCCTTTATTTAGGTCCCTAATTTTACACGTTGCTTTTTATAATGTGCAAACAGGTAATGCTACTTTGTATGTACCTCTAAAATATAATAAACACCTGCGTAATTAATCATGTCGTGTGATGGCAGCGTAGAAGATCCCCATACCATACCGTGCCAGAAAGATCCCCACACCGAAAAAGAGAAGTAATGTCAAAGTTGCGAGACAAAGAGTATACAGGGTTATTTTGCAATAACCGGCCATAGAGCAGTTTCATTGTGTGAACAGAGAAGGTTCAGAATAAGTAATATAGGCAAATGCTGAAGAAAAATTAATAAAAAAATCTCAAACATTCTGTCCTTTTTTATCTTTTAAAGTCAAAATGCGTCGTAATGTATTATTTTAACTGATTTTACAGCGCACGCACACATACATAAGGGTCAATCGGTAGGCAAATACGATAATAAAAAAATTGTTGGCCATAAATCACATGCAATTTGGGATAAATAAAAAGTAGAAGCCTTATTTACTCGTATTTTTAAAAACTGTTCAAATATATAAATAATGACATACAAGGGTATATCATTATTTATATATTTGAACTTAAGTTTAAAAGGGGAATGCCCACCGTTCATAGACACTTCGGCCATGGGTGCCAACATATAATAGCATATGGAAATGATAATATGCAATTAAAAGAAAAAAAATGGTTAAGGAATTGGTTTTAAAAAAGTCCGGACTTTTAAGATATAAAGGTTTTTTATTTTCACAATAACAGTTTTTTAACAACAAATGACTTCGTATTTTCGTGATATTTAAAAGACAATTGACGCAGCGTAAATGTGCTCTTGAAAGAGTTGCTGAGAGCTGGGAAGAACTGGCCCATGTGAAAGCTTGGGTCATCGTTAGCAGTGCATATTGAGTCCAAGTTCGTGCAGAGGTTATGGTAAGAAGTGGGATCCATTTTCAGGCCGTGGTGAGAAGAATTATCGGTGTCCATATAGAAAGCTTATTCGTTGTTTAGATAATAAATCCACGAGAAAACACACAAAATAACATAAATGCAAAGGAATTCGACTTGTGACTGTTTAGTTTTGATAATTATGACATGGGCCTAGCTGTCAGATTCGATGTTGCCAATTAACAGACATAAAATCGATAAATAGATAGCGATTTTGTTATTCGATTTATAATTTCATAAAAAAGAATAATCTTTGATTCGCTTTAAGATCTGCACGCCTTTTAAAATATGATTTATTTTATTTATTTAAATCCCATTTTAAATGTATTTTTAAGAACAGATAAGAATAACAGTTAAATTGTGCAGTTGGTAGCGTTTTTGTTATGTTCTAAAGAGTTTATGGTAAATCAACTAGCAATTCGCTTGTTTAATTTTCATCATATCGACAATATCATAATAATTATCGAAAAATATAATTACCATTATAATAATGACACCATAAAAATCGATTGAAAAAAACAGAATCGACTTTTTTAACGAGATTTGTAATTGGCAACACTTTTTATTTCATTTTTTTTATAGGATAAGGGTGACAAACGAGCACACAGTCCACCTGATGGTAAGTGGTTGCTGCGGCCCATAGACATCTACATCTATCCTCTATTACAAATCAAAATGTAGATGCGTTGTCACCTGTGAGGACTAAGATTGAATGCCTCATTTCCAGTAAAAAGGGCCTCCGGCCACCTGCACTCACCAAGCGAAACGCAGAGGTAAACCTCTACTTCACGCTGGTTTTCTGTGAGGTCGTGGTACTACCCCAGTTCGAGCCGGCCCATCCGTGCGACAGCAAAAGCTGCCGCGTGGCTCATCCACAAACTAATGAATTGCGGATTTACCTAATTTCATTTTTATCTTTTTTGGATACATAAATACCCACAACTATTACCATAAATTATTACTATAATTACCATAAAAAAGGTGTATTTTTTTTAACAAATGCAAATTGTTGGGCGTTTCATGGCTAGAAGTTCATGGCATTTCCATTTGGGTACTCTTTGAAAAATCATTCACTACGTTCTAATGCAAGACACTAAAAACGCGGTTCAGACTTTGAATTATACAACTTTAGTTCATTGATTTGTTTATCGTATAGAAATTGATAAATAACTATTTGTTTCCACTGTCTGCATTTGTGGTCAGACGGCATCTGGCTAACGACTGACCTGCATAAAGTCTACCGCAAGATAATATCATCTGTGTGTGGATTAATCTTAACAGCTAGGAGAGCTACTTTGTAAGAGAACAAGCGTACTTATATTTTATTTATGTGTCGTGAATAATTTACTAGCTTGTATTCTTTATATGTGACCGTGTTAAAACGCATTTATTTGCACGCTAAACGCCCTGTCCCGTTGTGCATTTGGAATTTGAACAAAACAAGCATTTTTTTGTTAAACTTCACGTTCAAGAATGGCAGGTAAAAATGCGATAGGAGTTACAAGCTGCGTCCATTATGCTAGTAGCTACACCTCAATGTAGTCTTTGTAGCTTTGAACCTTTAAAAATCTAACTGGCTGACACTGGTCGATTTTTTTACTTATTTTTGCTGTGTATAGCATAACAAATTTATATACAAAAATTATATATAAAATATAAGTATCTTGTTTTTTTTTTCCTTAAATAGAATAAGGGTAACAAACGAGCACACAGTCCACCTGATGGTAAGTGAATGCTGTGGTCAATAGATATCTACATATATCTTCGATTAAAAATCAAATGCGTTGTCACCCCTGAAGGCTATGATAAAATGTTTTTTTTTGCGCCCAGAAGCAATTGAAAAGGGCTACCTCGTTAACGCGAGGAGGTGGTGAATGCTTTATGGTTATGTGGGACTCACTGTGACTATCCTAACCTACTACCCTAAGTGTACCCACTAAACACCACCTATGGGACTGGCATTGGCTTATTAGGCCTTTCTGCCGAATGGGAAGCTACCCTCTTTAGGGAAAAGGGGGCGCAGGCGGCTACGAGCCGCTGAGGGGGAGCCTACTAAGGCAAATTAAAGAAGAGTCGGCCTGAGCCGCCAGGAGGCAGTTCAGGTCAGTTGAAAGTTTATTTGGCGGGTCTGAGAGAGACGTTTTCGGCCTGCGGACTCCATAGCGAGAGGGGAGTGGGGCTGCATAAGTAGCTGCCTCACGAATGAATTGATTGGAGTGAGACTGAGGCTTTGAAGAAGTTCTCAGAGAGTGTTGATAAAATGCCTTGTGAATTTAAACTAAGATGGAATGCCTCGTTTTAAATAAAAAAGAGTTTCCGGTTCTTTAAATCGTTTATTCAAATACTCAGTGCAAGGGTGATTGCCGACTGGGCATGGTGTCAGCTGGTGTGATATAATGCTTTGTATCACCTTATTCATACCATTTCCACTCGTCAGACTTAATATTCAGATTGTTGATGGGGAGTAGTCAATGACGCGAGATGTCTCGTAATCGCTAAATTAGCCTGCCATGCGTAGCGGTCATGGCAAGCGGTCGTGGTAGAGCCTCGCTGCAGGTATATTAATAGTTTACTGGAAAAGAGGCATTCTATCTTAGTCCTCACGACTGTCAACGCATCTGCATTTTAATTCGCAAACGAAGATAGATGTAGATGTCTATGGGACACATCAACCACTTACCATCAGGTGGACTGTGTGCTCGTTTGTCACCCTATTCTATGGAAAAAAAGTCTCCTCATCATACATCGAGAGTGGCTGCTAAAGAAGGAGATTAAAGTTTAGTCTAGTTGTTCTTTTTTATGGAGGATTCAGTTTTGAAAGATATTTTATAGATTTGGCCGTTAAGTGCCAGTAAGAAATACTAAGTACGATTGCTGGTCATGATTCCAGTCATGACGGCGTAGGTATGTAGGTAACTTAGATTTTGTTATACAATCAGCGCTTGTTCCCATCTGATCACAATGTTCGTATCTTCATATCGACCTTAGTCAGTCAATGTGCTTTTAATGTTCGGCTACACCACTACTTATTAGGCAAATTAGTAACGTTAGACACTGGCTGGTAATAGGTAAAAAAATTGCTTACAGGCTGTTTAAAAGTAAATTCATATTCGATTATTGGTTTTCAGAGTTTTAACTTCGTCAAACCTGAGGTTTAAATTTCTTTGTTATTCGTTTAAGAGTGTCGCAGGAATTGATTAAACGTGGCGCGATTCATCGTTAATTGTGGCGCCGATGTTTAACACACACATCACCATTACGAACCGTAATTGTAAAGATACGGCGGTTTTACTATTAGGCGTTTTCAATTAAGCGATTGGTTATGGGCCGTAGATTAAAATCCCTTACGGAGCAACTATTTGTATAGCCCACGAATAAATAGTTTTTCTGTGTTTGGATGTTTGTCCATGTACAAGAAAATTCCTAGTGTAACGACGACATCGAACACCTCCCGCCCATCTCAATACAGTGCACGAAGCATTATTCTCGTCACTACTAATTCCAACACTACACCAGGACACAACACTAGTTTTGCTTCTAAACAAGTCATCATTAGAAGAAATACTCTGCGATGGCTGACCGCTAAGTGAGCGGCGTGGCAGTGTCTGGTTCATAAAAGAAGTTTAGAAAAGTGATGCCTTGTTTAGAGACGAAACATGTGCAGTTTTAACGACGGTGGTGTCTTTTTGGGGTAGTGGTGGTGGAATTTGTGATGATTTCTTACGCGAATCTTAGTTAATTAATTTTTTACATCTAATATAATTGATATCCGCAAAGTAACGCCTGATTCTGTCAATTAATTACTTGGAGATGTGTAACGAATATTAGATAACTTTTAGGTCATTAGTTCAGGGGGTATGGAGATTATTATACAACTTGAATTTCGTTGTTAAATTATTTTAGTTATTCCAAATTAATTATTGGTTTGAATTATAAAATGAAACCATTTTTTTGGTATTTAAAACCCTAAATAATGTACAAGCTATTTTATACTAAACCTCCATGGGCATGTAACATGATCATAAGATATTCTAAATATTATTCGATACGGAAAGTAATAAATCTTGTCTTGTAGTGAAAGCACCACAGTGCCACAGAAAATTTACACAAAATCGCATTTAACGCAACTAAACTGAAGATATCATCTAGCCGTTACAAATATTTCACGTAGAAAATCCACTTAATCAACCGGAATAATAATGGGATAAGATTTTTGTAACTTACAAATTGTTTGGTATCGAGGAATTACGCTAGTGTTTCTGTAAACTGAACTCTGTACGTGGCCGTCTATTACTCGCTAGCGTTCTACCGTGTAGTGGCGGTGTACGAATATCCACTACCCAATATCGGCCCGTTGCTTTCGTAAGGAGCGATAGAGGGAAACAATTACCAGGGAGATGGGCAGCATAGTGCACCTAATAACAAATAGAAAATAAAAAACTGCAGTTGCCAACCATGCACGAGGCAATCTAAGGGAGCCCTATGTTCACAACAGTGGACTTTTGATAGGCTGCAAAGTTTATAATAACGTGCACTATTTTGACTTTTGGTATTCCATATTGTTCTCAGAGGTCAAAAGTCAAAATGCATCATCTGCATTTTGTTTCTTAATCGATGATAAACGTTGGTATCTAAAGGCATCCACTTACCGTCAAGTGGACCATGTGCTCGTTTGTCATCTTGTATTAAAAAAAAAAAAAACTTTCGCAAGCTACTACGTATCGTCAGCGAAT